TAAGGATGAGCTACACTAACCTAGTAAAGATGTCACACTATCTCACTGTCACAGAAGTAAATGTTGGTAGAAAACAAAAACGACTAATAGATAATAATTTATAACAAATTCATTTATCAATAATAAAACCATTTACTGTCCACTTATCTCTGTGAGATTCATGAAAACAACTTATGAAAACAATAACATTATAATTTCATGAAATCATACGCACTCTGTAACATAATACATGTCATACTTTTAATATTTCAATCATCAGGCAACAAATTCCCTCTTTTACCAGCCTACCAGTATCCATGGGGATCCATAGGGGTCTCCGCTACACGTGAACCATTCACCTTAATAACTTAACTCCAGAACCGTCCCCATATCCCATCCGGTATGGGCGCCAAAACCATAAACCTCAATACCCCGTCCGGTATGAGCGCCAAAACATTTAAAGTCTCTCTACCCGTCCGGTATGAGAGACAACGTTCCCAGTAAGGTTCCCTATGGACTTGGTCCGTCCACCATCTTATAGGATATCTAGTGAGGGTGTCGACTTATCCATTTATCAATTCACATACATTTTCTATTCTTTTCTTAATTTTTTGTTTCTCACATAATCATGAATATTTACACCAGTAACGAGCATTCAACAATGCAGGCATATCATCGGATTCACAAAATTAAGCAGTAGTGAAGTAAACAGTGATTCATGCATTCAAAACCATAAAATAAATAGATCAGACAACATGATGCCTTTATGTAAAATAACTAAAATAGCAATTGATCGAAAATATATCAGATTCGGGCCCCATTAGCAACCTTAATTAATTATACATGTAATGCCCGGAAAGAGGGAGAAAAAAAAAAAGGCGCGCCACGTCAGCAGTCACGTCAGCAGACCCAGTCAGCAATCCTGGCCAACCAGGACCTGCCACGTGGCAAAACCACGTCGACCTCAGACGGGCCACGTTGGCGATCCGCGTGCGCGCGATCGGACGGCCCAGATCAATCGCACGCACGGACGGCCCAGATTTAATCAAAATGGATGGTTAAGATCAAAAGGCAAAATGGTATAAATAGAACCCCCACACCAGACCACAAAACCCTAGCCGCTTGCCCTCGCCGGAGAAGACGAACTAGAAGCCGGCCGCCGCTACCCGCTGCCACACCAGGGAGATTTCTGACCGCCGATCGAGGTAAATTTCATACCCCCCACTCGTTTTTCCACGCTGATTTCCCTAATGGCCAAATCGGAGCCAAAATCCCGGCCAAACGGCCGGAAAACTCGGCCGAAAGCCAGCGGCGTCGCCGCGCCCATCCTCAGTTTTTGCCTCCGATGAGGCCCTTCCTGGCCTCCGTTTGATGCAATTTTTATATCACCGTGATCACCATTCTTTTCTCTACAGGTTGACCGGAGCCGAATCACCAAAAGACGAATCTCACCGGAGAGCCGCCGCATCCGAGAGCACCGCTGCCGGTAAGCTTCGGTTTTCCGTAATTTTTTGGCCCCCTGAGGGCCGTGGGTTTGTTTATTCACAGAAACCAATGCGAGTGTGGCCAAATTTGGCCGAAAACGGCCAACCTGAGGCGAACCGCCGCCGCAAGTGGCAGCGCCGTCGCCGGAGCACGGCGGAGCCGCCGTGCCGGAGTTGCGATATTGGCCGAAAGGGGCCCTGGACCTAACTTGGGATTTTTTTTGGAACACGTGCAGGTACCAGTAGTGCGTTTCAGTTCCCCAGGAAAAATTCAGAGAAAATTGGGGACAGCTTGTAGGCGCACTGTGAAGCCGTGTTCGGACCCCTAAACGAGTAAGGACCCCTCACCCTATTTCCTATCACGGTATTAAAGTTCAATAATGATAAAACGGTAATTCTTGAATCAAC